ACAATGCTGATATGGTGTCAGCCGTTGTTGTTGTAGATAGTTGTACAACGAACGGAAATTGTGAGAAAGCGTCGACACAAATTAGCCACATTGAATTACAAAATGGACCAGCAAAGTCGATATGTACTCTCTCCCAAGGTCGATCAGCTTCAGGCCAGCTTAAGTATTCACGTGTGTGAACAGGATTTGCAATTTTGCACACATCACAATTTTCAGTTAATTGTGCGATGTCTTTGTCAATATTAGTCCACCAGACATGTTGTCGAGCTAGCTGTTTCATTCTCGATACTCCCCAATGACCATCATGAAGAAGTTTAAGAATTTTCTGCTTAAGGGAGGCTGGAATGACAACCCGGTTGTACTCCGTCTGGAGGCAAAGCAAATTGTTGTTTAGTATTAAAGCAAAGCGATGATTGAAAAATGATCGAAGATCAGCATCTTGAGGCATTAGCTTTTCAGGCCAACCGTTTGTAACGAGAAAATAAACTCGGCGAAGAATTGGGTCATTTTTGGCATGCTGACGAATTATTTCAGCGTCGATAGGTGTGTTAAGTTCATTGATGTTGAAACAGGATTCTTCATGATCAAAAGTTTTGTCTTCACCAACAGGTAAACGAGATAAAGCATCGGCATTTCCATGCTCAGTAGTTTTACGATACCGAACATCATACTGATAAGCCATTAGTATAATAGCCCATCGCTGTAAACGATGTGACGTCATCGACGGCAACTGATGAATTGGATTAAAAATGCTAACAAGAGGTTTGTGGTCAGTAACCAAGGTGAATCTTCTTCCGTATAAATATTGATGGAAACGCTTGACTCCAAAAACGATAGCTAGTCCTTCCTTCTCTATCTGACTATATCGTCGTTGATGAATGTCGAGAGTTTTAGATGCAAAAGCAATAGGCCTTTCTGTACCGTCAACGTACGTATGCGAGAGCACGACTCCTATGCCATAGGAGGAGGCATCTGTAGCTAGAACCAACGGTAAATCTTCCTGATAATGTGCTAATTGCGCTGCATTGAGAATATGCGTTTTAAGAGCTATAAATGCTTGTTGTTGTGCTGTACCCCATGTGAATTTTACATTTTTTCGGCGCAGCATGTTGATTGGCGCGGATAATTGCGAAAAATTAGGTATAAAATTATGGTAGTAGTTTACCTTACCCATGAATGCTTCTGCTTGCTTTAGATCTTTAGGCGGCTGCAGGTTTTTTACTGCTTTTAGTCCTGACTCATCTGGCAATATACCTTTTGCACTAATTTGACGCCCGAGATATTCGATTTTATCTCGCAGAAAGAAACATTTTTCTTGCTTGCACCTGATACCATTTTGTTGCAAAATACGAAGTACTTGTTCTAGGCGGCTGATGTGTTGTTGAAATGTAGGTGCGGAGATGATGATGTCATCGAGATAATTTCCGCAACCTTCTACGCCTTGAAGTAACTGCTCAAGATATCTTTGGAATATAGCTGGAGCGCTTGCAATCCCAAACGGTAAACGTTGGTATTGGAATAACCCAAGTGGAGTGTTGACAACCATTATTGTTTTTGCTTCATCGTCGAGTTCCATTTGTAAATACGCATCCTTAAGGTCGATTTTTGTAAAATGTTGACCGCAATGAATTTTATGGAAAAGACTTTCGCGTATGGGCAAAGGATATTGTTCAATGTCAATTTGCGCATTGACTGCTTGTTTAAAATCCCCACAAATTCTTATGGAACCATCAGCTTTTGGCGCTAGTACAATAGGCGAAGCCCATTGGGAAAACTTCACAGGTTTCCAAATACCCGCATTTGTCAATCGATTGACTTCTTTCTTGAAAAGTGACATTTGCGAAAATGGAATTTGTCGGCTTTTGTAAAATTTCGGATGTGCATTTGGCTTTAAAAAAATACTGACCTTAAAAATTTTTATTGTGCCAAGAGCTGGTTCAAAAATATCACCATATTTCTTACACAGCTCGCTAATTCTGTGCGATTCACTAACTGATTCACAGTTACAAATTTGTTGAATCTCAAACCCGAATTCTTTAAATAAATCGAAACCGAATAAATTGTTACAGTTTTCGACATCCACGACAACGATTACCACTTCCCTTTCTTTTCCGCCACATTTGATATCTACGCAAAGTTCACCAAGCACTGGAATTTCATTTTTGCCAAAACCAAATAAGGTTTTTGTACAATTTCGCAACTTTGGGCAATTTAGAGTTTTGAATGTTCGCTTATTTATTAAAGAAACTGTTGCACCAGAATCCATTTGGAAAGACACAATTTTATTACAAATTTCCAAGTCAATGTAATTCTTATTGCTTTCAGTTTTTACAATACCTGTTAAACTGTTAATTGTTTCAACAGTACCAATGTTGTGACTTTTACGACGATAATCCTTCTTATTGTTTTCATCACCTGAACTACGTTTGTTGTTCTTGTTTTGTTTTGACATGCACACTGGCGCAATATGTCCAATTTTGCTACATCTATTGCAAACAGCATTTCTAAATTTACAGTTTTCTCTTGCATGAGAGTTTCCACAGCCAGAACATGATTTGAATTTTACTTTATTATTGTTATTGTTGAAAACACCCGGTTTTTTTATAATTGTACCAACTGAATTAACAGGCATTGAGTTTTCGATCGTTTGTTCTTTAATTGTTGCCACCGTTTTAGTGGTTGTTTCGTACAATTCTGCAATCTGTAAAACATCAGCAAGTGTTGGCTGGGGCTTTTGGAACGCAGCCGTGCGCACTGCATCGTGCGGTGTACGTATAATAATTTGGTCACGAATCATATCATCCACGAAATTGTGCAAACAATTCTGGGCTGAGCACGAAAAGTTACACTCTCTTGCCAATCCGCGGAGATCGGCTACCCACTCTCTGTATGATTGATGTGGCTTCATTTCCCTTTTGAAAAAATCGTAACGTGCAGCGACCACATGTCGTTTCGACTGGAAATGATCCGTTAGTTTTTCCGTTAAATTTTCGAAAGATTGTTCTTGTACTTTCGTGTTACCGAAAAGATTTTTTAGCAGCTCAAAATTTTCTGTGCCAATCCAAGACAAGAAAAATGATTTTTGTTTTTCACTGCACTGAACTGAATATGCTAAAAAATGTTGGTTAAGTTGTTCTAAGTACGATTCCCAGGTTTGCTGTTCTTTCGAAAATTTGTGAAATACTGGAACAATGTTGTTATTTCTTTCAGATACACCAGCAGTACCTTGTTTTTGGAACATTGAGTCCATCCACTCACGTTGTTGTTTCAGTAAATTTTTTGAGAACTCTTGTTGTTCTTTAAGCAATTGCTTATAAATTTCACTTTCGCCCGGCATGATTGTATTTAAAATTGAACGGTACGAAATAAGCGTGAAAGCGATTGAATAATTGCAGATTTTTATCCTCGTCGCCAACTGAAGTAAATACAACCGACAAGATTGACAGTTTATATTTAACTGAATTTTGTTTACATTTCATTATTTAAGATTGTTTAAACTAATGCAAAACATACTAGATTATAACAAATAGTAGATTGACTTATTCCAACTAAATTGACAATTTCTCTAACGGTTTTACCTTCGAAATTCAATTTAATTATTAATTGCCTAATTTCGACAGTAGATTACTTTCCATTTGGTGCCATTTTAATACTAATTTATGTTACAATTATATAATTTATAATTTATATTTATCTTAATGTAAAAAACATTGTTCTGACAATTATTATTGTAGTTTTGAAGTGCATATTTGTAAAAGAACAGTATTTTTAGCATGAATGCTTAATTTTGTCCGATTATACGTTGAGCCCAAAAAATTGTGTTGGTTCTGTTTTTTACTTTAAATTAATAGTTATTATGAGAAATATTTGGTTTTTTTTATAATTTAGATAGATAAGTATATTAAGTATTATTTAAAGCAAAAAAAATCATATTTTTAGGATTTTTTTTGAAGTTTAGAGCACATTTATATCGAAAAAATGGTTGTCCGATTATGCGATGGAGTCACTGTATATTCTATAATATTTTGGTATTTAAATTGTAGAACATGAGTAGCACAATTTTGCAAAATTAACAAAAATATTCTACATACAAAAAACAAATCTTCTTTCGCAAACTGTATAACATATGCAATCATTTCATATATTTTTCAATATAAATTTTTAAAAATACTAAGAAGTAGTACAATGTTGCACCGTAACTTTTCAAATTATTTATATTTTTCTAATATGATTTGATGAAAAAGTCATTAAAATCAAGTACCAAAAAAAAGAGTTGACAAAAACTTCTTTTGAAGCATAATCATAAATTCTTTTAACTCATTTAGAGGTATTTGTTACTGTTAAATATTGATTATATAGGTAATATTAATATTTAATAAATTATGAAATTTGATAAAACAACACAATGATATACGGTATTTTTTGAAAAACATATATATTCTATAATATTTTGGTATTTAAATTGTAGAACATGAGTAGCACAATTTTGCAAAATCAACAAAAATATTCTACATACAAAAAACAAATCTTCTTTCGCAAACTGTATAACATATGCAATCATTTCATGTATTTTTTAATATAAATTTTTAAAAATACTAAGCAGTAGTACAATGTTGCACCGTAACTTTTCAAATTATTTATATTTTTCTAATATGATTTGATGAAAAAGTTATTAAAATCAAGTACCAAACAAAAAAGTTGACAAAAAGTACTTTTGGAGCATAATCATAAATTTCTTTAACCCTGTTAGAGGTCTTTGTTACTGTTAAATATAGATTATATAGAAAATATTAATATTTAATGAATTATGTATTTGATAAAACAACACTATATTGTATAGTATTTTTTGAAAAACATTTCTATTCTATAATATTTTGGTATTTAAATTGTAGAACATGAGTAGCACAATTTTGCAAAATCACAAAAATATTCTATATACAAAAAACAAATCTTCTTTCGCAAACTGTATAACAGATGCAATCATTTCATGTATTTTTCAATATAAATTTTTAAAAATACTAAGAAGTAGTACTATGTTTCACTGTCATTTCTCAAATTATTTATATGTTTCTGATATGAATTGATGAAAAAGTTATTAAAATCAAGTACCAAATAAAAAAGTTGACAAAAAGTACTTTTGAAGCATAATCATAAATTCTTTAACTCTGTTAGAAGTATTTGTAACTCTTATATATTGAGTTTATAAGTAATATTAATATTTAATATATTATGAAATTTGATAAAATAATAAAATGTTGTACGGTATTTTTTGAAAAACGTATATTTTCTATAATATTTTGGTATTTAAATTGTAGAACATGAGTAGCACAATTTTGCAAAATATTCTACATACAAAAAACAAATCTTCTTTCGCAAACTGTATAACATATGCAATCATTTCATGTATTTTTCAATATAAATTTTTAAAAATACTAAGCAGTAGTACAATGTTACACGGTAATTTTTCAAATTATTTATATTTTTCTAATATGAACTGATGAAAAAGTTATTAAAATCGAGTACCAAATAAAAAAGTTGACAAAAACTACTTTTAAAGCATAATCATAAATTCTTTTAACTCTGTTAGAAGTATTTGTTACCCTTATATATTGAGTTTATAGGTAATATTAATATTTAATAAATTATGAAATTTGATAAAATAAAAACATTTTGTACGGTATTTTTTGAAAAACGTATATTTTCTATAATATTTTGGTGTTTAAATTGTAGGACATGAGTAGCACAATTTTGCAAAATTAACAAAAATATTCTACATACAAAAAACAAATCTTCTCTCGCAAACTGTATATATGCAATCAATTCATATATATTTCAATACATATGTAAAAATACTAAGCAGTAGTACAATGTTACACGGTAATTATACAAATTTGTAATATTTTTCTAATACGAACTGATGAAAAAGTTATTAAAATCGAGTACCAAATAAAAAAGTTGACAAAAACTACTTTTAAAGCATAATCATAAATTCTTTTAACTCTGTTAGAAGTATTTGTTACCCTTATATATTGAGTTTATAGGTAATATT